CCCCAAAACCCCAAAACCCCAAAACCCCAAAACCCCAAAACCCCGTGAAGACAATTGAAATTAGTATTGTTGAATTATAAAGTTAATCAAATTAATTTTAAAAATGGGAAGGAAAGTGACTAACTTATAAAGCCAAGTCAATGTATCAGACGCAATAATGTGAGACTACTAACAAATTTAATTGTCCAGGAAATGAAGCAAGCTTTATTGAGGACTCTGACCCAGAGTTTCATAAACTTTTAAACTTTCAAAATAGCATCATTGCTCACATAGAACTAAAAATGCGTCAGTCAATGCTTTCAAAAGGACCTTTGGTGATTTTAGCGCCTAGAGTCTTAAGGAAAAGCATACTCATCCCTGTAAATATGTAATCTTTCGTTTAATAATAATACTCGAACATACCCAAGGTTAAATGGTAAGGTTTCTTAACTAATAATGTTCAAGTATGAAACTATGGACTTAAAAGACTATTATTAAGTGACTTGAACCGTATTTTTTGTACATCATTAATGAATAAAAACTTAACTATCCCTCCTCTAACCTCATTCTTATTCACACTCTACACGTTTCATTAATACTTGAGGGATGATCACAAAGATATAGTGAGTTTAACCATCTATTTACAAATCTCAAGAGTAATGTTTTTCATTGGACATCATTAAAACCGAGAAAGAATTAATTAATAAAATTAAGAGCTATTATATAGAAGGAGGTATCTATTAAATTTTAATAGAGATCAAGATTTAATATTTCCAAGATAACTTAGGAACCTTCTCATAAAGCATATTTTGAAATGGATAGTATGTTTAGCAATAACTATAACCGCCATGATTGGCCAGGATTTGACTTCGAATTGAATTCCACTCAGTTCTTGATGGGTGATGACTATATGAAAAATTTCGACAATTTAATGGCAGATGATCATCCCGAATTTTCGCATGATCATATGCAACATCATGAATTGCTAGCTGAATCTCGAAATGATAAGGATTTTTTCAGGTAATATGACTCAGACTTCTAGCTACCCCCAGCCATTATATAGGTTAAATCCCCTCTAGAAACAAAATAACTAAGGGACGAGATCTTAATGAAAGACAACTTAATTTAGGGCAATATCACTGACTATGATCACCTAGGTAGTAGGTCTACTAGTGAAAAGAGCAGCGATTTATCAAGCAAGAGATTCGTTCATGAGCATAATTAGTACATCCACGGTTTCTAGCCTGAAATTCAAATTCAGCCCATTAGTCATACAACCAGAGGAAGAACTCTAAAGAATCCTATTCATCAGGATTTCATCTATTATCATCGATCATCTCGAAACATTCAAGTAAGCGGCAATTAACCAAGATCTAAGCCAAAGGCTAATGAATCAATCTAGACTCAGAATTCCTCGAGAAAATCAGTGACTGGGAAAATCGTAGCTAACAGGCATCTGAAATTTTCCAAAAAGCAGGAAAAATCCCGTGCCAAATAACAGCTTAAGATGAAGAATATGATGTCCAATAAGCAAAAATTGAATTTAAAGAGAGCTCCTGTAAAAGCCCCTATTCAAAATAATATGATTCAAGGAAAGCAGAGTCAGAATAAGAAGAAGAGTGTAACTAGCTCAACTGACAAGAGCAAGAAAGTGTAAATAATCTCTCCAATCGACAGAAAGAAAACACAGAGCCAATTATTCAATATCCAAGAGGTTATTGTCAGCAGCGAGTTGACCGGAAGAATAGATACGACAAACTGGAGAAATCAAGCTAATATAGTGACACCAGACTTTAAAAGGGCCTAGAGTATGATGATTCCAAATAAAAAATCCCTATCTAGAAATGAAACCAGCAATCAATTAGCTCAAAGTTCATCGATATCAACTGAACAGAGCATATCCTGTTCTCCTCAATAAATTCAAAGTAAAACTTCTCAAAAAAAGAATAATAGCTCATGTTAAAGGAATTTAAGCAGCAATTTTAGATCGATTAAAAACATTATTAATAAAGCTTGCCCATAGCAGATTTTCATAGTTGAAGACTCAAAGTTTGATCAAATAAGGAAAATCAGAGAGAAAGAAGCTTAAAAGAATTTGACTGAATAGGAAGAAAGCGAGGAAGAGCTGACTGATGACGAATGCTATTTAAATAGACATTAATCTAACGAGAAAGAAGAAATTTAAAGATATAATATTGGTTTAGATAAAAAACATTTGCTATAAATCCAATCTGTTTCTTCTTAAAAGATCGAGGTATCAGCTGATGCTAATTAATTGAAACCAAAGTAAATTAAGTCAAAATAGCAAAAATCAAAGGATAGTAGTGAACAAAAAATCATTGAATAAAAGTCCAAAAAATCTCTTCTTCAGAAAAGAAAAATAAGAGATGATTAGTAAGATTTGAATTAAATCGTATAAAATGCCCCTAAAAAAGCCCCAAAGACTAATCTAAACATAACAGTCCCAATGCTTAATTCACCTCAATATAACCTCAGAAGAAATGTGGGCAAAATTATGGACGATAATTTCGTTTACGAAAAATAAATCAATATCAAAAAGACCTAACAAGAGCTTCAAGGTATAAAGAATTTAGCTCAAAATTTGACTAATCAAAGAGATGACTACCTTTTGCTAGGCAGTCAAAAATGAAACTGAAACTGAATGGAAAACAACTCTAAAATCAATCTGTTTACTTAATCTTGACAGGAATATAAGTCTAGAGAGAATCATCCCTTAAACAAACCAATTAGCTCGAAAGTTTACTTTAAGATGATGACTCTAGTTCTTTGCTTGTGAAGATTCATTTCACTTTATTAATAAATTCAATTCGTTATCCTTATTTAAATATTGGGGCCTATCTACTATTCATTTAAACTAAGATCCTTTTCATGGGGTTTTGGGGTTTTGGGGTTTTGGGG